TCTTTCTCAGAAAAAAAAAAGAGAAAGATTGGCATCAGAGGTTAGCTCAGGGCTGATCTTTCTCACACACACACAAAAATTCAAAATTCATAGTACGATTCCTACTGAATGCATATCGCTTTCGCACCATCATAAAGTCAAAAAATCATGTCGCACCATGGTAAGTCGGGACCATTTGCAATTGTATAGATGTCCCACCAGCTTAATCTTAATGTATAAGTAGGAGGTGGCCAGAAGGGGAAAACGGGGCAAGGGTGTCCCAGGCAGAATAAGCAACCCCTGCTAAGACAGGGATGCTGAAAGATCCCAGGGAGCTGTGTTGGGTGATACTGAGGCTTGGGGTCGTGAGTTGGGGAAGCAGGCAGGAGCCCGGCCACGTGCCATGCATGGTTGTTGGAGCTGAAAGCTGTGGGGAGCCGTGGAAGAGTCTTAAGTAGGGGAGAGACACAAGGCAATTAGCATCTTAGAAAGATTGCACTGGCTCTGTGGAAGATGGATTTTCGGGGGACCAGCAAGGATGCCGAGGCAGAGAATTCCTGGTAAAAGCGGTGAGGGTCTACACTAGGGAGTTAGTAACTAGTCGTAGAAAGGAATTAGATTGTGGCTGGGGAATCAATTGAGGTGTTAAGTTGTGTTCTCGCTGTATTTTTTTTTTAACCCTGATCTAAGCAGGTAGCAAAGATCCCTTCCTTTGTGGGAGTGTACGGCCAGGTGGAAGGCCACAGCTTCTTGAAGACAACCACCTCCAAGCTTTTGTCCCCTGACCTCCTAGAGGGGAGAGTGGAAGTGAGGTGGGAGGAAGAACCTATAAGAGAGGAGAGACAGGCCCAGCCAGGGTAGCAGACAGTTGTTGCTGGGTTCCAAATGTATCCAGGCTGTCTCCAGGAAGGAGCAAGTCTTCAGACATATAGTCCTTGGATATTTACTTGGGTTTAATAAATATTGGATGTCTACTGGCTTCTGGGCCCTGGGACACAGTGGTGAACGAAACAAAGCCTGTGCTCTCCTGGTGCTTACATTCGGCAGAAGAGAAGGACATTCCACAGACGAATCAACAAGGCTCCGGCCTGGCAAAGCCCCCAGGGTCACAGTTACTGCAGAACCTTGGGCCCCTCAGAACTGTACAAGCTTAGTCAATGGGCCTGGAAACAACTGAAGACCAAGGTCCAGCCCTATTCAGGGCAGTGGATCACCCCAAAGAGGAGGAGGGCATCAAAACAACCACCAGGACCGAGTTTTCTGCCAGCGCAGGGGGAAGAGGGCTCAGAGAACAACTGCTGTTGACTTAACAGAAAGAAGGCAGTGTGACTTTTCTTGCACCTGAGCCTGTGGCCTGATTCATAATCCCTGGAACGTATCTAGGGCACATCGAGGTATGCTTGGAAGGTAACCTGTGGAACAGGTAGGAGGCAAGGAGTCCAGGGCAGGTGGCTCCCCGAGGGCTGAGCAGGGAGTTGGCATCAACTAGGCTTGAAATTGGAACAAGGGGGATAGCTCTGAGGGGGCTTAGGTGCTCCTTAGAAACCCGTCTGAGGGGTACTAGAGTCCCACCCGGCTTTGGGCTGAGTGCAGCGGCTTCTTTTAAATACCTCAGCTTTTTGGTCAGTGTCCCCAGAAGGCCCACTTCACTACCACCACCACTAACCCATAAGGTCTCTCTGTGCAGGGAGAAAAAGTCGCCCCCTCCAGGCCTTTGTGTGATTTAGAAATAGGTGCCTCCATTCCAAACAGACGCAGCCGAGGCTCAGAGTGGAGCCAGGGGGGATTTCGGTCCCCACTCAGCCCTCTGCCAGGTGCCTGTTACCTAAATGATAGTGGCTTCTTCCTGGGCCCAGCCTGACCTGCTGGACCTGAGTTTGCTAGAAGAGGTAAGTGGGGCAGAGAAATCTGAAGGATTGGGACTTTGCCCTCTTAAGTACAAAAGATCCCCTCTTCAAATTGCGCAAAGTATTTATTTGATTCTTGGCAAGTATAATTTCCAGAAAATCCTCATCACTCTTAAGAGAAAAAAACGTTGTATAAAAGCTGATAGGAGGCGAGCATTCTTCATGTTTTGCTGTAGCCCTTTCATCCTATCTCCTCAGCAGTGCATATAATCAAACACTCTGGTAGCAAAGCCCTTGGGGATGACTGGGGGCAGCCTGCAGGTGCCAGCGACCTTTGCCCATTCCCAGCCTCAGGGCCTCTGGGAAGCCAGCCTGCAGCTGTGGTTGCCCTGGGGTTCAAGTCCACAGAGGGCTTAGTCCAAGAAGGTGAAGAACGGGGGCCAGGATAGAATCCATGAATGTTTACATCTCGTCCAGTAGCTCTAAAGCAAAGACACATTGCCGTTTTGCATTCATTCATTCACTCATTCATTTAACAAGTATTGATTAAGCTGCCTCTGTGTGCCAAGCACTGTGCTGGCGATACAATAATGAACAAAAATAGTTTCTAGTTTAGTGAGAGAAATAGGCTCTAGTAAGAGTCACACAGTAAAATTATAACTGTGATGTGCCCAGTTTGGATGCTATTCTAAGGACCTCAAACTGTCTCCTATAGATCATAGGGAACCACTAAAGTGTTTAGAGCAGGGGAGGGAAAAGATCATAGAATAGTTATTTGAGTTTTCCCCTTGCAGCAGCAGTAACTGATCCAAAAGAATGAATATCTAATGATGAAACCTGGGAGGCCTCAAATTATACCATATAATTTGTGTCTTCTTTAAGCTGGGCTTTTTGTGATGGTTGATCTTTAAAGATCCCAGAGA